CCCCAGAGCTTGGTTTGATAGATTCAAACAAGCCCTTGAAAAGTTTGGCTATGTGCAGAGGCTCAATCAAATCACACTTTGATTATTAAGAAAGTTGATACTTCCTTAACTCTACTTGTTGTATATGTGGATGACATTGTAGTAACAGGGAGTGATAACAGTTTAATTGAGTCTCTTAAGAAACTTCTCCATCAAGAATTTGAGGTAAAGGACCTGGGAGAGTTACGATATTTCTTGGGTATTGAGGTAGCTCGGTCCAAGCATGGAATCTTTGTTTCTCAAATGAAGTATGTCCTTGATTTCTTAGAAGAAATAGGAAAGTTGGGTGTTAAGCCAGCTGATACACCTATTGAACAAAATCACAAGATTAGCGCAGAAGGTGGAGAACCTCTTGAAGATAAAGCTATGTTCCAAAGATTAGTTGGTAAACTACTATATCTTTGTCTTACATGACCAGACATCAGCTATGCAGTGAATGTTGTTAGTCAGTATATGCACTCTCCCAGAACTACCCACCTACTTGTTGTTGAGAGGATCGCATATTTAAAGAGGTGTCCAGGCAGAGGTGTACTATTTAAGGATAATAATCACATGAAGATTGAAGTTTACACAGATGCAGATTGGGCCGGTTGTGTTGATGATAGAAGGTCTACCTCTGGATACTGTGCCTTTGTAGGAGGTAACCTTGTTTCTTGGACGAGTAAGAAACAAAATGTTGTTTCTTGTTACAATGCCGAAGCTGAATATCGGTCCATGGCAAATGTTGTGGCTGAAATACTATGGTTGAAATCACTGTTTGATGAATTGGGTATTACCTATAAGAAACCTCTAATGTTGTACTATGATAATCAGGCTACTATTAATATAGCTCATAACCTGGTACAACATGATAGAACCAAGCACATTGAAGTCGATCGACATTTTATTAGGGAAAGGGTTGCATCTYAAGAAGTCTGTCTTCCATATATCAGCTCCAACATGCAGCTTGTTGATCTTCTCACCAAGGCAGTTTCAAAGAAGTTAGAAGCAGATCTATGCAAGTTGGGAATAACAAACATCTATTCCCAACTTGAGGGGGAGTGTAGAAACCACTAATGTGGTCCCCACCTATTTCTATTGTACTCGTATACAATTACTTATTTAAGTGTCAGTCCACAATTGGTTGTTAGTCTTTTATTAGGACTTAAATTGTTGTCTTTTATTAGGATTTTAATTTTGCCATGTAAGCAGTCTTATCCTTCAGAATTAATATAAATAGAAAGAGGGGGGCAGCAGATTAAGCATCCTCTTCTTTTCTGAAATCCTTCCTTCGAAATCTTCTTCTCTTCTTTTCTCTTTCTCCTCTCATCCTCTTAATTTCATATTGATTATACACCACAGCTTGGGCTGTCAGTAGTCTCATACGGCTACAAAATCCTTCAATCAAAACCCACTAAGTGAGAGTCCTTAGCAAGTAAAACTGGGATAGCGTCTGGATTTTGTTCCTCTTGTGTATCTTTGCTTCGGATAGAGTTGGTAATTCGGTTCTCTGTCCTGAATATCCAGAACTTGTGTCTCCCTTGGTATTTCTTCTAGACCAATGTCGGCTACATCTAGGTCCACCTTAGAATTGAGGCAAGTCTCACCACTGTTTCTTCTTCTAGGGCCGACAAGGAGGCACTAGAGGGTTCTTTAAACAAGATCTGCGTTCCTATAGCTCATCGTTCCACAGATTGTAAGTTTTAGTGGATGAGGCTCTTTCAATGCTACTTTTGTCGTTCCAAACATCATCATGCGTTGGGTCTTCCCAATCATCTTCTTCCTCAGAGTCTTCACGCTCAAGCCTGTTAAATTTCGGGTTCGACTTGTCTGGGGTTGTGGAGTTCATTTTCACAACCAACTTCCATTTCCCATTGCTCTTCGACCGGGCGCTTCCTAAACCAACGTCGCCAAACGCTTTCAAAGGAGTCTTGAGAGGATTTTTTGCAACCGCTGCAATAGAGGAGGTTGCAGGGGTCGATTTGGACGATGATAGACCCCAACAATCATCCCCAACCTTTGGGTCGGCCTGCTCACATGCACTTTTAAGTGGTCACATGACTTGTTTAGAATATAAGTTGGTGTTGGTTTGTCTGGTTCAACTGGTTTAACCCTTGGGTCAAGTTTTGGCGCACTTTCAATTTTTTTCCTTTATTGCCGCCCCTTCCAGCTGCCACTTCAGCATAGGACCTTTTAGTAGCCCCTTGATCTAAGATGGATGGCCCAGATTCTAATCCCTCTTTAGAGTTCTGACCATCCTCTTTTGATTCTACAGTCTAAGCATTTGCCTTCTCTTTGTAGCAACAGTCAGATTTCTCCTTCACGCTTTCCCCCTACTCGACCTTTGCCACGTCATCGTCTTCTACCTCCTGCAGGCTTCTACAGAGACTCTCCTCCACCGACGACAACAACCAGACTACCTCATGCGTTTCACTTTCACCTAGTTCCAATCTCACTGTTCTCGGTATTGACTCTATTTTAACTCCTCCCAATTTCACCGAAGCTGCACTGAGATTGGACAAGTCCAATTCTTCCAGGACTCCTCCGCACAGAGCTGCGATTTTCTTGAAGTTTGCAAGGGACCAAAGATGAAATGGGAGCCCTAGCACTTTGAGGCGGAAAATTTCTGTCTAATCTACACAATTTGCATTCGGACACCAGTGACTGATCACAATTACTCCTTTAGAAGTTTGAATAGGAAATGCATGTATTTCTTCAACCAGATTGTCTACTTCAAGAAGAGCCTTATCTTCTTGAAATGATCGAAGATTGAAGCGTCCTCCCACTTTCAGCTTTCATTTAATCTCCTCTGCAACACAGCCTCAACCACCTACTCTTTTGTTTGGAAGTATCACATATTTTTTACGCCAGTTCTGGTAGGTTTGATCTTCACTCCCTGGAACATCCTTTTCACCATCTGGATGTGGTTGATTTTCCAGTGCTTGGTTGGGTTGGATATCTCTTGGTCTATCTTCATTTCTCCATAAAAAGCTCTGCAACTCCCTTACAAACAGCATCCACCCCTTACTCTGTTTTCCCATGGGAATACAAATCATGTCTTCTACCTATGCCGAACCATTCTAAGACTGTTGCAAACCAGCCCTTCCTGTTGAAGCGAAGTTCAGCTACAAATATCTTTCCGTTGATTTTGATTGAGTTCTTCCAGGCCTGTGATTCCCTCGAAACTAAAGCTACATCCAGGAAGCCTTTCAGCCAAGCTGCTACCTCCTTTTGGAGATACACTGTGGCTCTCTTTTTTCTTCTCTTATCTTCAGGAACACCAGAGACCTTGTTTTCACTTCTTCTAGTTTGTATAGCTTAGCTTCAAACCATACTTCCTTTCTCCACCTTCCCACTACTTCGAACTTGCCCTCCATCCTTGTCTGATACACATTGGCATCGATGGCTGATACGTAGCTCTCCAACATTCCAAAAATTCAACCAATTGCAAAGGCAAAAAGTCAAACCTTTGAACAAATCTCTAAAACATAAAATACCTATGATAGCAGAGAGACTATAACAAAGACCTTCCAAAAGACAAACATAAAAACAAATAGACAGATGTCGCAGAAAAACCCCAAAAGACCAGGGTAACAGCTACCTATCCACGAACAGATGACTGAGCCTAAAAAAAAAAAAAAAAAAAAACAGTACTGATCTAACAGCATATTGCAGTACCAACAAAAACACCCGGGGAATCCACAATTCAGCCTCTCTATTTATCCAGCTCGCCATTAAGAACATATTCAGAACAATGGCAAATATAGCCTCCCAAGAAAACTGAATTTTCAGTGCTCTCTCTAATTTCTAATTCCAAAAAAGCTCTTTTAGCAAAATCTTCACCCAGACTCTTAGCAACTTGAATATCCCTCTCAACAAACCTACTTAATTCCAGCTTATCCTTCATCTGAGGATTTCCTTCATTGGAAACAAAGCTACGAGTAGTTCGTGTCTCTTTCTTTTTCTTTCTCTCAAAGTTGTTCTCTAAGCTATGCACCTCCACCAACTTACTGACTCCTAAACTCTCAATGCCGCAGACCTCCATCAACCTTCCCATCTGAAATCAGACTTGAAGAACATTCTGCCTGAGTCAAGGCCAACTTTTCTGATAAAGAACTCAACACTCCATCCACACCCTCTTGAGCTTCTTCTCTTGTAAACCTTTTCTAAAGCTCTTGCAAAGACTAGTTCCTCGTGTGTATTTTCATGTTCTAACTATTTATGATGTAACCTTTGGACTTCTCTTTTTTTTTGATGAATAAATGCCACATGATTAATTACTTTGGACTTCTCATTTTCTGATAAGATAAACTTTGTAGAGCCAATGAAGTGATTAAATGGACTAATAAAGGTAAAGAAAATTTAATTGAGTGTTGGTTCATATCAAAGCTTCAACTCTTTCTGATGAATTGGTTGACAGGCATTTATAACAGACAACTTCTAGATCTTGCCCACCAATGACTTATGAACAAATAACTGTTTAAAAGATAACGAGCAGAAAAGGCTCCAATTTAGTAAGTTGATCCCATTTCAACCTCTGGGATGCCTCTTTCTTGTAGATTTATGTTTCTAATTAAATAAATTTTTTCTCGTTATTCATAAAAAAATAGTAGGTTGAACCAAACGGTGGTGGTGAAAACAACAGAAACAATACTAGATATGTTTTCATGGAGAAATGATGGATTTTCAGTTCCCACAACCCTATCTTTTCATTATCGATTCAGCAATGGAGAGGGGAAAAACTTCTAAATAATAATTAAACAATTAGAAGGGAAAAAGAAGATAATTATAAAAAAAAAAATAGAAAGAGGGGCTTCATATATTAGACCAAAAATAAAATAGAAATAAACATAAACAGATGTGTCAAAGTTGAGTCTGAACTATCTATCAGGAAGTTACGCAGCATAGTTCTAAAAATGTTTAAGCAGAAATAATTACCACATAAGGACTGAGGGCTCCATGAACTGGAGCCTAGAACTTACCAGGAAAACAGCGAGGAAGGGATGTCATAAGGACTGAGGAGACCATCAGCTGATACCTAGAAACAAGATGGTGTCTTTTCATATCCGGATTTGGTTTTCCTCCAGACACATTTTCTTTGTATGACTGTAAAGCATGAACTAATATTAGCAGGCACTTTTCCTGATACTGTTTTTCTAAACATATCTCTTCCAGTGACTTAGATAACACTTTCTGGGCCTCATCCGCATTAATCTGTATTGACATTTTTTATCAGTTCTGTAATGACAAATTTTAATCAATTCGGAAATCAGTACAGCACCAAAAGAGTCCAAACAAACCAACAATATATATCAATTGCAGTATAGAGATAACAGGGATAACTGAAGACACATTGAGGAGAATCTCAGTTAATTATTGTCTCCAAAAATATAAGTCATTGCAGATTCATGTATGTGAAAAGAAGTTTTAGTGATCTGAAAGTAAATGGCTTAGTGCAGTAACCATTAGGATGTTATTTGTGTCTGCTAACTGTTGATTCTCTAATAAACGAAAGAGCATGCGAGAGGCACACATGACGAAGAATTCAAACACAGACAAGACATACAAATAGAACATCACCATTTTCCTGTATCCACTCAGAAATGCGATTATGAACATCAACAAATAAAAACTGGCATCAACGAGATATGTTAAGATGTCGTGGTTTCATACATGGAGTTTATTAAGCTCCGGTGTTGCCACGTCACTATAACTAGCAAAATGTTGCCAAAACTTTGACGCACCATTCTTCTCAAATGTTTCCTGCAATCAAAGGAGATGTCAATTTCGCACATGACGAAACCAAATGCGATTTTTTTTCCTCTCTCTTTAAGGTCGAGATCTTTAAAGAATTCCAGTGCCATTACAGAAGAAAGGGGGAAAAGGCAGCGCCATTTGAATTGATTACAAAAAAAGGTAAATCGTTTGACAAACCTCTAGCTCCCGAAGAAAATAATCCTGGACAAGAGAGTCGAGGCCGTACTTGCAAAGACTGTGCACATGAGAAACAAACTCCGACCCAATCGAAAGGTCCCCATTATCCTTCAGAAGGACCTCTGTGCTGGCACAGAAACCGTTCCAGCTCTGCAAAATCTTGTCAATTGATTCATCGCCAATTGAATCCAAAATCCCCAGGTTATGAACCCAATATGCCCCACCCTTCTCTATTTGCATGGTTACTTAGTTCAGAGGCTCCTTGGTGAACAACGACGTCAATTATAGCAATTACACTGGAGAAACCCTAGATTACCAGATAAGGCACTCGAAGAAAGCATGAACGCACGGAGCGACAGACAGAACGAACAGTCGTCCTGTGACTGCTACTTGTTTTGGCAGGGGGAACTCGTGAAATGAGCCCTCCGTTGTTACTTGTTTGAGAAATAGGAGATGTGATTGACGAACGAGCGGGAGAATTTGTTGTGCAATTTGCCGCCAGATCGTTAATACGAAGGAAGAAATAGATGAAAAGAAAAGTGGCGCCGGGACGCGATGCAGTAGGCGAAGCTCTTAATCTAAGCCCATTTGTCATCCATGGACCAATTCATTTGAGTGGATATTCGATCAGGCCCATGGACCAGAACGTCAATTGTGAAAATGGGATCATAAATTACTTTCTCTATTTGATATACTTATTGTTTATTGAAAATGGGATTTGCTACTCACGTAGCGCTTTCAAATATGCATGTCAATGATACCAGAAAATCCGAGGTCCGATCCAATTATCTTACGTTTGGATGATGTATTTATATAATTGAATCAGATTCGAATGTTATACTTTATATATATGATTAATAATTGGATTATATTTAAATTTGACTCCATCTCTTCCGATTAAAATCTGAATTCAATTATATTATAATATTTATTAATTTTTATATATTAAATTGAAAATATCTTTCTACGAATAACATACAATTACGAAAAATATTCTCAATGCAAGGTGAACAAATCCCGTTTCCATTTATCCACACAAGCTCATCATCTGGTCCTCTATTTTAAAAATGAAATATGTGTGCCAGTGCCACTCATCTATACTGAAACCAAAATCTGATAGAGCGCACCTCACAAAACTTCACAGTATATCACAATCGTGCATTGGGAGTATATTCTCATGAATGACAACATACTAGTATGACAGCATACCAGTGCACAGCTGAAAGCGCTGTGAAGCTGGTGTGAGAAACAAATCCAGATTCACCTGAAATTCAGATCATCTGGCCTTTCAAAAATATATCCAGATTATCTGACAAAAGTCTGAGTTTATACAAGGTTTTAAATTTCGCTGAAATTCCACCAAATTTTACACAATAATGGTTTTCCTTTCAGAATCAAAATCCTTTGATTTTGGTTTGGAATTTTTTTTATGGAACTTTGATATTTTGTTGAAATTTTGGTATGTTTCAGTCATAATAAATAAATAATTAAAAAAAAAAAACTAAAGATTAACCGTAATATTTATGCATTGTTTTTTCAATGTTTGGTTGAGACAATAAACCTTCAACATCTCTTGCTTTCCTTTCTCCAGATATCTTAAAATGATAAATTTAGACAAATAAAACATGTATAAAAACGTTGGAGCCATCTTTGCTGTGTGCTACTCTTTCTCCCTAGTGTCGGGAGGACAAAGCATAAACAAGGATTTTTGTGCAACACAGGGGGCTAACAGGTGTTATGGCCACTAACACCTACCTTGTGAATCTTTGATATTCCGTTGTCGAAAGACAACTCCATGGCCTGTCTTGAGGCAGAAAAACTCTCAAGTTTTTCTGATAATCTGAAATTAGCAGAATTACCATCCCCCTCCATGTGGTTGAGAAGGGAAACAATGTCCACTTTGCAGAAAGTGAGTAAGCTCAAGCTATATATAGCACCAGCCATGAGGCACAGCTCAGGCCTGAGCAGCAAAGTTAAGACTGCAAATGAGTATTGGGCCTGACTTTTAAGCAAGCATGATGTTAGCCTCTGCCTAAGCAATGGACAGGGTATAAAGTTTCGAAGGAATTTGTTATGAATTGCCTTGTTCCATGTGGATATATCTACAGAGATTCTCAACAACTGGCAAACTCCCATTGAGACAATGTCAGATATTTAAAATTCCCAACGCAGAAAATGTTGGAATACCTAAGACATTGCTATCTTGCTTGGTCAAAAGCAGACCAAGTTGTTAGCTGTAATGTATACAATCAGCATCTTTGCTTTATATGTTCAAGGAGAAAATTTCACATGGAAATTTAGAGATTTTGCTTCAATAAAACAGTCCCATATGTAGCTTATTGTGTTCTAAGGGCTTTGATCCAGTCAAGTTCCACTTTGAAATTGCCTGGTCCAGATTTAGCACCAGGAACACCGCCTTCTGCATTGACGGAGAGAGACATACTAACAACACGTGAAGGATTCATTTCCAGCTTTGCATCTACGACATTCCCTCTCCATGTTGGTAAGTATCGATCAAGTGGAATCTGGAAATCTCATGAGTTAATTTCAAACACCATCCTAAAGAAAGAAAATTGGTGCATAGAAGAACATGAGCAACAGTGCAAAGCATAAAACATAAAAATGTAGCTAAACTTTAAGAATCTCACAATGTTTTACATGATTTTCAAACAATTTAGGAAATCTTGGATACATAGAAATCAAAGTACTATAAGCATGCTTAAGTGTTACACATAATGAAATCATTACTTTTTTCAGCTTTTAATAGGAATTAAAACCACACAACACCATGGAGTCATTGTAGTTGCCAAAAAAAGATTTGATGATTTCCCAAAATATATGTCATTTCTATTATTATTATTAGAAGCGGGAAACAACTCCATTATGGTGAGCCTGTGCTCTTAACTGCAAAGGAAAATAACAGTGGGATCATTTCATTCCAGGTGGCATCCAAACATGCTGTTGAGTTTCTCTGTTCTTTGTTAGATAATCATCAAGAACAGTCGGAAAATAGTTGATAGGTCATGAAACCGTGTTCTCTTTGACATGTACAGGCCTTTAGCCCAATAGAACAGTTTGTCCTACATTCATGTGGACTGCCATGCACATCAATTAGCCAATGGTTGACAGTATAGCTTGAGATAGGAATGAGTATCATATCATCAAAAAAAAATGATGAAAGCCACAGCTGAAAGAATGGTAACACTTCTGTTTGTCATTTCTTTTAAGAGAAGCTATTAGCTCTAAGTATTTTATGATCTCAAAGAATGAAATAACCTATTATTTTCCCTCTAAGACTATGGTAAACAATGGGATATTAACACAAGGTTATTCCCCCTAATTAAAAAAAAAAGGAAGAGAAAAAAGACCATATCCATCTTTGATATCCAATCTTGCCAACTAGCATCAAATTTATCAAGGGGAAGAAATGTAAATATTCTTTTTGGCCATCCAACAATTTCAGCACAAGAGAATCATGCAAGGGGCAAGCAACTTGCCTTCACAATATACCAATTGTCTTTGGGCACATAAAACAAAAGCTTGCCATGAATTGTCTTCTTCTTGCCCAGGTGAATTTACCCAATTTTCTGTGTATATCTGCACTCAAAGAAAATGGGTTGTCAGAGGTTCTTTAACAGCTCATACATCCAACAGCTAGGGAAGATTGTGAGACAAGCTGCATCAGATGGTATGTGTTAAAAAATAAATAAACAAATTGTTCTTGCAGGGAAAGAGAAACTCACTGTACATATGTAGCATCTTCCATCTCCTTTAAGCCTCAATGCTATGGTATCATATGCATCCAAATCAATAAAGCCATCAAACTGCAAGTAAAAATTAATATGTAGAGAGTACTGCATGACTATACTAGCACTGTAGCAATGATTTAGGAAAGGAATGGAGAAATTAATTGAGTTCTGCGCTCTACAGCCAAGTTGAGTTTGCTGTAAGAAACAAAAGCACTACTACAACTATCATAACCAAAAGGTGCCTTTAGTCAGATGGTCCAACAGAGAGAGAAAGCTTGGTGCATTTCCCCTCATGTGTGTGTCACCTGTTGGTCCAATGGAGAGTACGTCAACTGCCTATTCCTTTCCCATCCTTAACATAGTGCTGTTATGGAATTGCTTCCACTTTTGGGGAGATTTTGGACTTTACCCATAAAAACTGCACACTTGTTCTCATCTGAGATTATCTCCCTCAATAATACTAAAATAGAAAAATTCTTTTTTTTATAGGAAACAGTAACTTTCATTAATGAATTGAAAAGATTACAGATTTACCACCCACAAAATGGATGGAATATCAAAACAAAATCTTACAAACAAGCCCAAAACAAAGCCTCCCTAGTAGCTCCTTGCTTAGCTAAAGTGTTAGCCATTCCATTTGCTGACCTTCTTACCCATTTAAAATGCACCCCAATCTCCCTTGCTAAGATAATAATCTATCTTAGAGGCTGTCTAAGAGACCAAACTCCCAAGTTTCCAGTTTGCATCCACCTTATTACCAGCTTGGAGTCTCCTTCCACTTCTAATTGCTGCATTCCCCATTGTTTCGCCAATCTCAATCCTTGAAGTAAGGCCATCACTTCTGCCCTTAATGAATCTCCCATCCCAATTGGGCCCGAGTAAAGGGCCAAGACTTTTCCTTCCTCATTTCTGAACACACCCCCAACTCCTAACTAGCCTGTATTAACCAAAGAGCATCCACCAAAGTTTAGCTTCACCTTGAACTGAGGTGGTGGTACACAACTTTCTTGTACCACAGGGGAGGAAGGAGAGGATACATCTATAGCACTCCAATTTCTAATTAAGTCAGCTGAGGAGAAGTCCTTGAAGAGATTATGTACTTTCGGCCAATGCATAACATTGATGGTGATAACCTCAGCAAGTTCTTCCTTGGATTTTTCTTGCCCAAAGAAGATCCTATTGTTTCTCTCATCCCAAATTGAACAAAGGATGACTGCTCTTGTTATTCTCTACATTACCCTGCCTCTTTTCCATGGTTGTCAGAAGGGTGATTATAATTTTGGATTGTATGGACTGAGACAAATGCAAGAATTTCCAAACAAAAACACAAGCAAATGTTTTCCAAACAAAATGCAATAATATCAAAAGCTTATTGAAATGCTGTGTTGAGAAAATAGAACCAGAATATTTATGTCTGTGTTATGGAGAAATCAGACAACCTAAGGCAAGTACAAACATTAAATTCAGTGTATATTATCCCAAAGAACAAAATCTCAAATATCATGAGATGTAAAACTTTTCATGGTCAACCTTGATTCTTGATTAATGTATCCATGAGAATAGTGGAAATACAACTGACCTTCTTGGACCGCATTCCACAAAAACCACTGTGATTCATTCTCCACTTGGAACCCTCAGTTACATCCAAAGAAAGGTTGCCAGACAAGATACCTTTCAAAAAAGTTATAATAGTGTGGAGAGTAAGTTAATAAGAGAATGACCTTCCAACAATTTCCAGTATAACTACACATATTGGTAGAGATTGACAACTAGTCCATATATATTATTAGCTTTAGCATAGTATCATGGTAGGATGAATGTGGACATAAATGAATTATTTCACAATCACAGA